CTGTGATAGACTGGTGACCTGTCCAGGGTGTCCCCTGCCTTCACCCTAAGTCAGCTGGGATAGACTCCAGCCCCCCCGCGACCCTCGTGAGGATTAAGCGGTGTAAAGATAATGGATGGATGGACGGAGTTCATCTGAGTCTTGCTTGTTGTCAGCAGGTCACATGATTAATTGCTTTCTGAGCAGTAAACTTTCTCTTTATCTTTCCATGGAGGCTACTTATCTACATACATATTGATAGTTTTAGTTGATACATTTATTTAGTTGGCCTGTAGTGCTCTATCATATGGCAGAAAGCAAACACATGCGAAAAAAATCTGTATTTTCTCCACAGGTCATAAATACAATCAAATAAATGACAGTTGGGTGGAAAACTTTTAAAGTTTTTTAAATTTTAAGCCTGGACTCCAGAATGAAAGCTTTATAACATACAATACATGATTTTATGATGTAATGGTACAAGGAACAAAGCTAGCAATTTTAATGGGTTTTAATTGGGCCATTTTAGCCTTTAAGGTCCCAAGTGTTACTTTTTCTGGTGTCCCATCTCCACATTCACACCTTTTCCAGATTTTATGCTATATGAACTGACACAACCAAAGTTACTTAAAAAATAATAAATAAATACAAATGATGAAAATAATGTCCGTTGGTTGCCTGACGGTTAGGGTTAAGAATCTACAACATTACATACTGTACAAAAAAATTTGCTTAACTAACTAAAATATTATGGTTAAAAACCTGCAGAATTACACAGGAAACAAAGCAAATACTGCTGAGCTTAAAGTATTGTTGACCATGATAGACTGTCATTATATTGCTAGGTTACATAATACATGTAAAACAGAGGTCTTGGTTGTCAAAGGGGAATAGGGTGTGGTTATGTAAGCACACTGCCACAAGAACCTTTGTACAGACTCAGAGGGTTTCTCTCACTGTCTGAGGATTAGCTTGCACCAGGTTTGAACAGGATTTGAAAACAACCTGTAACACCAGTTGTTAAAGCCAGGACATAGAAAATCCCAGTCGATCCTCCGGCTGCTGGTTTTGCTCCATCTAACCATGTGGCTTTTTAATTTTTTGCTGAGTTCTGACCTAATGGGACTATTCCTATTTATTCTTCTGTTTATTGTAATAGCAGACTACCTTAAAAACCGGACTCCACCAAACTATCCTCCAGGACCGCTGGGTCTACCCATCGTGGGGAATTTCTTGAGTGTGGACAGCAAACATTCACACAAATACTTTACCAAGGTACGGAATGATATACTGGTTTCATCTTGAGGGGTTTGTAAATATCATGGCTAAAACATTTAAAGTCATTTTTATTTGAAATGCATTTCTTACTACATTTTACTTTACGTTAAATTTAAATGTTACATCATTCTTTCATGCTGTGTTTTTAAAATTGATTGATACTGTGCATGTTTTTATAAAGTATAAATTCTACTGGGATAATCAGATTAATCTAGAT